GAGTATAATAAAGTCCATTGGATTTGTAAAAATTAATATAATCCTCGTAGAAAAAGAAGCGTAATTGCAATATTGGCAAAATTGCTTTTTATATTCACCGGGATATGTTTTAATGTTATTTCCGGGCGTTTACCCGTTATCGTCGGATGCATTGCGATATGCATTTTTCTCCTCGAAGAAAAACGCGACGAAGGCCGTCGAGGTGAGAGCGCCGAGAGGAGAAAGAGAGAGAGAGAGAGTTAAAAGTATACCTTCCCTATCTCTCACTCTCGTTTCCTTTCCCTCTCTTGTCTTCTCGATTTTCATTCTCGACCGGTGTCCGTCGATAAAATATGACGGCGAAAGTGGGATTTGTCCGTGATATAGTGGGGATCCAGCCGGGTATAGCCAGCCGGCGAGTCGAAGAGCTGCAGTTTCACGAGAACGACGCTATTTCAAAGAGGGACCAAAAATTAAATAGCCTAAAATAATCGTTCGTCCTTTATAGTGAATCTCAGTGCGATCTAAGATCATCCCGCGGCCAAAAGAGAAACCGGAAAAATGTTCACGGCCGGGATCGTCACGTTGCTAGGCGCGATCGCGCTGACACGTGAGTATCGATCGTTGGATTATCATTCTCTATAAAATGATAAAAAATAATATTTGCATCACATTATTATAAGAAAATCATAAACTTATATAATTTCTTGCGACGTTTTAGATTTGTAAAAATAAAACTCTATATGAAAAATATATAAATTTTGTTAATTACTTTGTAAAAGAGTACATATGATAATATACTTTACGATATTGTTCTTTATACATTTCCCCGAGTTCTAATTTCTGTTTATTTTTAAAATATAACAATTACTGCAATATAACATAATTTTGGAAGCGGGAAGAAGACTGAATGCTTTAAAGATTATATTCAAACATATTAAAATATTAATGCACAAATGCATTATGGATTCTATAGTTTTTACATTTTTATAATCCCATAATTTTCTCTTTTATAATAATATATACAAAATTTTGTTTGTGGAGAAGAAGATTATTTTAATCAAATGTGTGTGCGTGTTAGTGAATTATTTATTCGTTGACAGAATGACGATAAAGGAAAGAATGCGCTGGAATTCGATAGAAATGTTCATTATAATTAGAACTCGGCGCGGAGACAGTGCGAGAGAGCGAACTTTCTAAAGCGTAAATGTCAGTTCTCTCGATCGGTGGATTACATAAGTACAGTCGAATGCGGTCGAGACATAATTACATAATGACGAAATATGATAACGCCGATCTGAGAATTCGTCGACAAGAAATCAAACAAGTTCGAATGCCTTCAATTTCCTGGAAATGTTGGCATCGGAATTTCTCGAAGAACCGCGAAAATATTAATATCAATATAATGTTACAGACGCCGCATATAATTGTCCCAGCAAGGACGGCCAATACGAGGACATCAAGCAATGCGACAAGTACTACGAATGCAACGACGGTATCGCGAGAGAAAAATTGTGCCCGGATGGTCTTGTATTCGATCCTCTGAATCGCAAGGTCAACAAGTGCGACCACATATTTAATGTCGACTGCGGCGATCGACTCGAATTACGTAAGACAATATCGATAAAATTATAATATTTCGTAAAAAAATATTTGAAGGAAAATCGATAAACACCTGTACAAAAATTGCTAGCGTTTTATATAAAATTTAAAATATATATAATAATTAATTTATAATATATAATTAATTTATAATATATAAAATAATATTATTTTAATTAGTTGTTGTTGCAATTAATTAATGATTCTCTTTAATAGAACCTCCGCAGCCAACGAAGAAGTGTCCACGACGAAATGGCTTCTTTGCCCATCCCGATCCGTCGGTATGCAATATCTTTTTCAATTGCATCGACGGAGAGGCGATCGAAATCACCTGTACCACCGGGCTACACTTTGATGAGTACTCTGGAACTTGCGTATGGCCTGATAGCGCGGGTCGCGAGGTAAAAAGCCTTAGATATTTTTTTTATATTTTATTTAGCTGTTATGAAAAAAAAAAAAAAAACCTATTAACGATATCTACGAAGTTAATTGACATTAAAAATTTCGGAGAAAGAGGAGAGAGAGGAAAATGATAACTTTCCAAAAACATTTTTAATTAACATATTTTATAAATACGTGATATGAAAAGTTAGAATTCTGTTTCGACGGAAATGAGAAGGAACTCAAAACTCGAACAACCTGCAAACTTATCCGTTAAATCCTTAATTGAGAGAAAGTACGTCGCAATTTCTAATATACCTGTAGATAGTATGTACTTTCTCTCAATTACATTTAAAGGTTCTTCGACAAATTTGAGATACCCAATTATCAAAATTTAATAATGTAATTCTAAAGTTAGAATTTTAAATTTTGAATTTAAGAATTATGTTTAAGATAACGAATAACTGTCGCCCCTCCTTACAAGATGCGATTAATAGAATTTTAATTCCGTATTTAATACGTTAAAAAATTCCTATTCCTACATCGAATAAAAATAAATAATTTTTAAAAACTGAAATAAAAAAAAAGAAAAATATTGAAACTAAAATTTAATAATTCTAATAAATAAGAAAAATGCACGCTTTAATTAATAACGATGACATAAAGAGATAAATCGTATAATGCAGGGCTGCGGAGTCTTGGGTAAGAAGCTGCAGGACGGCTTCGAGTGCCCGAGCGAGGGCCAGGTAGACAGCAGGGGTATGCTGGTCGACCATCCCAAGTTCGCGCATCCTGATGATTGTCAAAAGTTCTACGTGTGCTTAAATGGCGTGACGCCTCGCGAGCAAGGATGCAGCGACGGCACCGTGTACAACGAGGAGCAGCAGAGGTGCGATGCACCCGAAAACGTCCCCGGATGGTACGAGTCGTTTGTCATTCATTATATTATTATTACATTATCATATTCATATATTGATATATAATAAATAATTATCGATCGTTAAGTAATTGCATTGAGATTATTCAATGATGACAAGGACGCGCACATGCTCTAATGTTTTTGAAGTATAGCTAATAAGCTTTCTTAATTTTTTATTTTTTATTTAGAGATTTTATTATATTATTATTATATCTTGTTCATTTTTTGACACATTAATTATATATGTATACTTTGAATCGATTGGATTATTATTAATGTCATGATTTATTTAAAGGCTCAAAAAATTTAATAATTGTTGTTTGCTTTGCAGCGAGGACTGGTATAAAGACGACGACAAGAAGCCGTAAGGAAATCGTCGGTGCTCATCTGTCCCGCATCGGGACATTTCATGTTTCGTTCTAATTGTGTCACCCCCCTCACTCAACGAGTAATCCCATTGTGTGTGTTTAGCCATTTGAATGTCTTGGAATATATTTTATTTTTACTTTATGTGTCTGCCATTTTTTTAAATCAAATCCCGATCCTCCTTTTCCAATCTATCTAAAACGAACTACGGCGAATTAAAATTAAGATCATTTCTTCTCGTGATAAAAAATTATTTAATTGATATAGTTAATCAAGAAAATCGTTAATCCTAAATATTCGATTTGATTGATGTGACGTTAATAAAAAAGTCAATAATTGTAAATTGCAATTGTAATTTATAAATTACGAATATAAATATCTTTTGGTGGAAAACATACAAAAATATTTGTGCAATTAATAATATTACTTATGTGTATTTCAACTATCAAATAATTATAAATTTTCAATTTTAAACAAAATCCAATTTATGTTATATGGCAAATAAAAGGGAGTAAAAAAAGAACTAAAGATATATTTTATTTGTAAGATTATTAAAATTAATTAACTGGCACACACCATATATGTGCCATCGGTTAAGTGGTTTTAATATATTTGAGAGAAATTAATTAATAAGATTTGGTTTTTAATATGTTCTCGAAACGACATTCGCGGAAAGTGTATAAAGGCCTTGAATCATTCTTGTTACGAGATCAGTCGACTATCACTTTCTCCCGAACTGCTCGCTTGTGTCTCGTTTTACAATTTATTGTCTCCCTCTCTTACTCTTTTCTTTTTCTTCTTTCTCATATTGCATTTCGATTATAATAAAATCGAGTAGAAAATTCGAGTATAAAAAAATGTTCTCTTCAAAGAAAAATTCATTCATTCACGTAACACGTAGATTAAAAAAATTTATTTGCTCTTTTTCGGAGTGAAAAATTAATTTATTTCTCTCGCGCATGATAGTTACGTTGAATTATTACGGACGGTATTCTTTCATTCAACTTTCCAATTTACGAACATTCATCGCAAATGTCACTTGCTAAAGATTTTTCAAGATTTAATCTATGCATTAAACATAGAATTATATCCTACAGCTTTTAACGTAATAATATTCAATTTTGTCATGATTACGTGAATCACGATGTTTCTTTCCTTTCCAACAGATAGAATTTTAAATAACATAAGATTAATATAAAACTAACATTACAACAGCACGCTTTGATGCTATTTGCATGATTAAATAATGGTTTTAATATCACTTATGATTCACTCAATAGTTTATATCTATTTTAATTATTTTTTAATTTATGAGAGCATATTTCTCGCATGTAATACATATTAATGAAAGTGATTAATTGGGGCGTAATTGAAAGCATTAACTTGAACAAATAATTGAATATTCATTTCTACACATCTGTAATAAACATGAGATCATGTTTCGTTTTGCTTCTAGCACCGCAAAATGCAAAAAAGATGGTTTAAGATAATTAATTAGCGTATGATCGCTCTTTACTGGCTTAAGTAAACAAATAAATAATTGTTTCAGTAAATCATTAAAAAAATTTCTCTCGTTCCGCTTTCGAAAATATCTCGATTTGATCTAGAATTTATTAAACACCTAAGTCGCAAACGTAACATTGCAGTCGCATTTGCAATGCGAATTTCAAGCTAGGTAGGAGCAGCAGCAGCAGCAACGAGTTATCTTAGCACCCGGAAGTGTACCTAAAATCTACATCTCTTTTGCATCGATAATAGTACAGTGCAATAAAACATGCGCCCGTGCACCCATTAGAATGCATCGGGAGAAAAGAGGGCAGCGAGACTGCGATTCGATCAAGAAGAGAAAGAGAGAAAGAGAGGACTTTCGGCAAAAAGGGGGGCAAAGTCGAGAGAAGGGAGAATTGGAAAATGTGCAGCAACAAGGACCCATCAAGGTGGTGGCGAGGCTGCGAGCGAGCGAAACAGGACCCGTTTCGGGCCCCGCAGTCACGTTTTACCAACGTCGCGACGAGCTGCTGCCGACGTAATCGAAGAGGAGAACAAAAGGAACAGGGAGGAAGAGGAAAAGAAGAAGAAAGGATCTTTTTCGGAACTTTTTGAAACAGCAACAAAAAACTTTGGAACTTTTCTTCAAGACTCCCCTCTTGATATCAAAGATGGAAAACCGTGTGGTTTTTCGCCATTTTCTGCCGTTTCTAACCCTGGTGACCTTGACCTGGGCACAATTCCGGTGTCCGGAGCCCAAGGGCTTCTTCCCCGACCCAGAACAGTGCGATCTTTATTATGCCTGCGTGGACAATCAACCCGAGGAGAAACTTTGCAAAGACGGGCTCGTCTTCAGGGATGATAATCCCAAGAAGGAATTGTGCGACATTCCGGCAAACGTGCCTTGCGGCGACCGCACACTTTTACGTAAGTTTCAAACCATTCTCCAGATTTATTAAGCTTTCATTAATTATTGCAATTAAATTAATTAAAATTATTATAATTCTTCTTATTGCGCGAAAATTGTACCTCATTAAAATTCTCTTTACAGACTGGAGAAATTAATAATGAAATAAGAGATTTTTCGAGATTATCAACACAGTCAAATAATTTCATGCGTAAAAAAATTTTACGCATGAAGAAAAAGAGATATGTATTTTTGTTAATTTTATTTCATCTAATTTAGGTCAAAAATTTTGGGCCTAAAAAATTTATATTCGGCAGGGAAATTTTTTCCGAATCATTTATGATGCAAATACTGTACAATTATATTTAATATTATTTCCTTTTGTCTATATATATCCGTTTGCTTCTGCAGCTCGGCAAACCAAAAGAATGGTCGATTCGATAGTGTCACGAAAATAGAACTCGGTGCGAACCGGTTTGTCGAACAATCACATTCTTTCTCGGATACGGTGAAACATTAATCATGTCAAATCAGTTGCACCTTTTTGCACAAGTAATAATATTTATCCACACAGGCACATACGCACATATATAATAGAATTTATAAAAAAATTTTAATTAAAAAATTTAATATAGAAGAAATTTAAATTTAAATTGTCAATGTAAGAATTAATATTTATATTAATTAATATATAATATGTATATATTATGGATTCCATTTTTATTATAAATTCTAAATCAAAGTCCATGTAGAATGCAACTATAACATTTATATATGATTGTTGATATATATAATCGATATAACAATTATATATAAGAAATAATTAATACATACATATCACATAATAATTATTACAGAGGAGCCACATCCTAGTAAGGACTGTCCACGCGCAAACGGCATCTTCGGCCACGAGGATCCGACCGCGTGCGACCGCTTCGTCAATTGCATCGACGGAGTAGCGCAGATAGTACCTTGCCCAACTGGTCTGATCTACGAATCTAAAATGTCCAGCTGCGTCTGGCCGGTAGACGCTACTCGTCTGTGCGAGAACGCGAAACGCGACGTCCTGGACGACGGATTTGTCTGCCCAGACGGCGACGTCGCTGGACCATCCGGCAGGATTCTGCCGCATCCCACGTATCCGCATCCCGAGGACTGTGCCAAGTTCTACATCTGCAAGAACGGCGTGGTGCCGCAGAAGGGCCAGTGCGAACCTGACACTGTGTACAACGAGGAGATCTTCAGGTGCACCGAACCGGAGAATGTACAAGGATGGTAAGTTTACCTCTCTCTCTCTCTTTCTATCTTTCTTGGTTTTTTTTTGTTTTTTTTAATTT